TGCCCATGGCAGCCAAATAGCTTCTCTCTTCAGTTTGTTCCATTAAGCTTTGAAAATGAAAGGCAGACGCTGATTGATTGCCGTCCAGATACTGTCTGCTCCAGTTTTGATAAATTCCCCTCAAGGAGTTTTGAGATTTGATTTTACTACAGGAAGTGAAGGAAAATCCCTGCAAAGGGGACACAAAATAACACATTTATAGGACAGTGTGGAAGGGTCACATTGATGTAGATATGATGGAATAGCAGAAATGACAATAGCATGACAACACGTTTTCTTTTGGGTTGAATTCCTTATTGGTTATAATAAAAATGATAGAACATTTACATGTAACTCATATGTACAAGGCTGATGTACCTTGGACGCTACTATAGGCATAATTCTATTCCTCTCAGGTAATAAATACCCATCTAACGATGTTATCATGAGTGGTCAGTATGTGTTGTACTATGTAGATATAATTGGATATGTGCTGTTTGTTTGTGCATTGCTAAAAAGAAAAAGAAAAAAAAAATTCCCTTAAAAATAAAAGTGTGAAAAGGTCAGAACTTCTGAGAATGTTTTTATGGCTGTCAGTGTTTACCTGCATAGGGTGACAACCACTTGCCTTATTTGTGTACAGGTGTCACAGGGAAAGGAAGTGAGGGAAAATCTTCTGAACAGGTTTACAGTCAGAAATAATAACTCTACCATTGTATTCAAAACAAATTAAAAAAACATCTTTGGCTGGAATTAGGCTTTAAAAAGAGAACTAAAGCCACACTTTTTTGGGGGCTATAGTTCTCTTTTGGATCAAAGGAGTATATTTACTAATGTACATCTGTGACCCAAAATGAGCATATAGCGAACTACTACCCACTATTTTCTGACACTGCAGAGCCGCACTGCAGCGGGAAAAGATCCCAACAATATTGATAGTATCCACCCCCTGCCTGAATGACAACGGGATCTTCCTCTCTACAGCCAAAACCAGCTGTGCCCGCCCCCTTCCCTCTTTTCTGCCAATGAGCGACTGATAGTACCTTTTCTCTGCATGTAGAAGACCATGAGCTGAGTGATCAGCGGTACATGATCGCTCAGCTCTTGATCTATAGAGCCGGCATGTGACATCTGCAGTTTCACACGCTGACTCTAAGCAATGGGAAGAGTACATTTTACTTCTCCTTTAAACTCAGGGTTGATTATATCATCTGTCATCAAAAGCAATTTAGTACATGAATCCATAGCTCAGTGATAGATATACCGTCTAATAAATGGCATAATTTGATTGCAATTATGCACAGGCAGCATACTGTGTTTACACAAAATGGTGATTGTTGCACCATGTATTTAAACATCCCTGCCAGGTTTATTCCAAGTATGTTACACTCCTGTTACTAAATAAACAGCAGCCACCTACCATCAGACTTATTTACCCGCATGCAATACCCATCTCTAGTAACACCCCTACTGTAGCATCTGTCTGTCATTACTTTCTTCCTGTTTCCATGGTGTTGTAGATATTTATAGTGCAATGGCAGTCATCTAGCTAAAGCATTGTGTTTTCATGATTAACACGCAGAAACAAATCCTTAACTGTCCCATAGGATATGGAAATGTACTGACGAAGCCTTCAGGGTGGAAGTACCTTATAAGGGTGCTGGTAATAGGATTTAGCCTATAAGGAGGCATCAGAGGATGCAGAATCCATATCGAAGCAAACATTTCCTACCTATAACATATTTGTTGTGTCTTCTAGAACTATAGAAAGCTGTATAGCTGAAATCTGTAGTTGCAATTTTGAATTGGAATTCATATGTTAACTGTTTTCTCACCGCTGGATTTCTAAAATCGCTCAGTCATAAATTCATAAGTAGTCATAATAAAGGAATACAGAGACTTTCTACTTTTAGTAGAACTCCAGGGGAAAAAAAAAAAATGTCACATTTGCTGCGTCCAGCTTAGTTACCTCTAATGCTTGGTATACTACATCCGGAGGGCTGTTGGGGATACTAAAAATCCTAGTTGTATTCATGATGGATTATTGGCAACTATCCGGAGCAGCTGTGCATGGCAACCAATCAGCTTCTCTGTTCTGTTTGGTCAGTTAAGATTTGAAAATGAAAGAGAGAAGCTGATTGCTGTGCACAGCTGCTCCAGATTTTGTCTGCTCCAGTTTCGATAAACTCCCTTCAGTGTATTCTATTTACAGAATACAAGGCACTCTCTGATTGTACAAGAGGGGATCCTGACGTTCATCCCTCCTTCTTTCCCTTTGTCAATTTAAAGAAATCATTGTGTTCCGTGAATAGAATACAAGACATTTTCTAAAAGGACAAGGGGGAGGAAAGTGAAGTGTAAACTATGCTATGCTTCATATCAGTTTAGCTGAGATTAAACCTGCCAGTAAATGCAGCATTAATACAGGTTGCCTACACCTGCATTAGTGGTAACTAAATCAGACCTAGCAAAAATTACTTTTTTTTTCACTTTAAAGCCCAACTGAACTTACAGTTTAAAGCACCTAAATATATTCTAAGTACATCAAAACCTAAGCATTTTAAAGTCTTACAGTTTCATTTCTTTACAAAGCAGCCACAGCCTGGGTAGAAACACCTGCCTTCTACCAACACACTGCGAAGAAGCACCTTTGCACTCTGTGGAAGCAGTGGTCCCGACACACCGCCTACTGTGTCAAACCTATAGCTCTGCAATCAGCAAAGCTTATGGTGCCTGCTGATTGGAGAACGCTGGCTTTGACTCAGCAGTAGGGTATGTCAGACCTTTGCATGGAGATTACTGCTTCCACACAGAGAACATGGGTTCATCTTTGCAAGATGCTGGCAGGGGACAGGCTTTTCTATTTAGGCTCTGGCAATAAGCAAACTATAACACTTTGAACCCCAGTTGTGCACCTGGAATGTATATAGCTGATCCAAATAAAAGTTCAATTGGGTTTTAAAATAAAATTGTGCCATTATTACTGTATATGGTCTGTGACAGCTAGAGATGAGTCCATCAAATGGGTTGGCAGGACTTACACAAATAGTTCCCAATGTGCTCAACCTACTTCATTGGCATTTCATTTGCTTTTTAATTTTTCATTTTATTGAGGGGAAAAATGCTGCCCCTTACCAGCAATGTAAATGTTTCTGCTGAATGAATGAAATGATTAAAAATTACATTGTTAACACTGGAGGGTTGGAATTTTCCAAAGTACCATGTTTCGCTTACTTACTTAATGAAGAGGCAATGATGATAAAAATCCATGTACATCTTTTTAACTATTTATTGATCAGAGTTGAATAATGTTAATTGTAATTATGTATTTATTTATTTTATATTTCAATAGCTTCATGGGATAGCATTTATAAGTCCAAAGGTCTCCTTTTTAAGATCACTAGGGAGAGGGTTGCAAGCTCCACATACCTCACCCTCTTCCCCCTGACACACTCACACTTCCTTTCTACAACAAGGGTCAAATAGCCTATTGCCGAGCAGCTTGATATTGGTGTTTGAGCTGAGATAGGTACCCCATGTGTGATGTTGAATGGCACACAGGTCAGCATCAACAAAGCCGTTGGCCATCAGTCCTCCTGCTCTCTTGTTATGGAAATAGCTGCCCATATGCCTGGTATAACGGGCTGGTACTGTATAATGTAAACCTCTGAATAGGTTCACTTTATTAGAAACCTTATCAGCAAATTGTTACCTTCCCACTGCTCCTCCACCACTCCAGGAGCAGAGTTGGCCCTGTGTATGCTCCAAGTCACAACATGAAGCTGACACAGGGCTACGGACTTTTAATCCGACCCAATGTAATAGCGCTTGGTGCCTGATGAGCCAGATACCAAGCACTGACAGCAGTGGCAGGAAGTGAAGAAAAGGTAAGTTGCTGGTGCAGACACTATTAAAATGAATCATATTGCTTTCCTCTGATCAATGGATGAGAATACAACAAAACAGTTCACAAAAGCAGAGCAGAGGAAATGGCAGAATAGTCGGGTTTCTCTTATCTGCAGTGACAGCAAAGCAAGGTTATAAAACATTTCCTGTAACTGTGCAGGTAGCTAAGGTTCAATAGAGTGTAACAGATTTATTAAAGAACAGCTGACATGAAAACAATATTTATTTGTATGCCATTCTATGTTTTTAGGGCCCATTCACACTAGCCCAGAGCGTTTTTCTGTGTGGGCTAGTGTACTTTGTGTGTGGGTGCTGTGCTGTTTCAGCATTTGCACTGTTTACATTTTTCTTTTTTTTAAAGGAGAACTATGGGGAAAAACACTGACCCCATAGTTCTCCTTTAAAACTTTATTAAAGTGTCACAAAATGACACTGCATTAAAGTTAATGCACTGCAGCTGAGTTGCGTTAACCGATGGGGACTTTGGCATGTCTGCATTTTCCTACGCGCTGCAACCCAGCTCACTTCAATATTGTAGTGTGAATAGGACACACACAAAAAAGGTCTTCTGTGTGCCCTGGCTGTGACTTGATTTGTTCTTGTGCAGAAACAAGTAGAGAAAGAGTCACTAGCACACCATCAATGCCAGGTGCCTGATGAAGGGACCCTGCGAGGTCTCGAAACGTTGCTTAATTTTTGTGATACGATGATCAATTGGCATCAATAAAAGCATTTTTGATGTAAACATGAAGGTGTGTTGGTAGTTCGCCCTCTTCTTGTATCTGTGTGGTGCTATCCACAAGTTACTAGAATACCCACAAGGAACCACAAGGTGTGCGTTGGCATATCTACACAGTTCTTGTGCAGAAAAACGCAGGTCACTGCACATAGTGTGAACAAGTCTTTATCATTATTTTGTTACATTTTATACTTACATACATAGATCAGTATGAAATCTCTTTTTTTGTAAAATGTTCGTTTTTTTTCTATGAATAAGAGGCATATTTTAACCACCATGGTTCATCTCTTTCAACATTATATTACTGGACCTTGCCGAGCAAAATCTCATTCAACTCAACTCAATCACATGTAATAATAAATTTAAAGATACTAACTTTGTTTGCTGGCAGACATTACACATCCAAGCCTTCTCTTTCTTCTGGAAGGAGCTGCAGTTTTTGCAGATGTTGAACTTGCAGTCCAGACACTGGCGCTTGGAATTGATGAGAAAGGTAAACGGAGAGCAGCATCGGATGCAGCAGTGCTCGTTGAACTTCTGTTGCTTTGACAAAATAGAACATTTGTTGCCTTCATCATCCAACTTTTGCTTTAATTCGCTGAAAAGAGAAGATGGTTGTTCTTAATTATTTAGCAAAGAAACATTATTCACTGCTAGACATATAATGAAAAAATTTCCAACATTTATCCATCTTAGCAATATGAGCATTTCAAACAGCGTGGACCTAAAGTAGATGTACATAAATCATTTTTCGCTTAGCAATAATTTTTTCAAATAAAATAGTTTTATCCATATTTT